AGGAGCCCACCCCCTACAGGAAGGCCCGAGGTGTGTGCGGGAAGCGGCGGAGGTGGAATGCTGCCCGGAGGCAGCCACAGCCTTTTTTTGGGTGCAAAGCAAACTGGTTTGAGGCTGACTCCTCTCCTCAGCCCCCTTCACTCTTGCAGCACCCTGACCACCTCCTGTTGACAGAAGAAACCCCTGGGACTCCCTTAAGATAAACCCACCCCGGCTCCAAACCAGGGAGATGCTTCTGGCCACTGACCTGGGGCCAAAAGCCAGCACGAATCAAGGGACTTGAAATCCAGCCTTACAAACAAACCCCTTGACTCAGTGCAGCAGAGCGCTCCCACCGCAAACAAATCGGTTTTGCTCAGCTTTCCCTGCGCGGTCACAGAAACGGTGGCGAAGGGCCCGAGCTGGGGATTGGGGATCGAATCTTTGAAGAAAAGCCGCAAAGCCTTTTTGCAGAGGGATGAGCGGAGCCGGCTGCCCCCGGCCCCTCAGGAGGCTCCAAGGCCACATCTGGATCTCCTTCCTCGCTCGGGCGAAGAAGCGTTGCAAGCCAAGAGCATCGCGAGCTCTGGAAAAGCGACTTCAGCAGCACCTTCAAGGGCTGACCCAGGAATTGGCTGATAACGAAGCAAGGCCCTTCCTGAAATACCTCCTCCTCCTCTGTCTTTTTCTCTCCTTCTGTGTATTTATGCACAAATATGCCCATATTTATACACCCACGTGCTACACTCTCAGCACCGCCAATCTAGAGATCCTTTCCTCCGTACAGCTCAGCAGTCAAATCTGTAGGACTTTGACACCAAACGACGCCACAAAGGTTATTTTCTCAATAAAACGCATCGCCCCATACAGATATTTTTCTCCCAGATATTTTCTCCCTAATCACTTGGTGGTGTCCAGCGAGCTCACGAGCCTCACCCCATCACCCTTCGCAGAGATTTTTTTGGAAGATATTGAAGGTTGCTCACAAGCTTGGGCATGTGGTTGGGTGTTAGAAGACAACCCACACTGTTATCACCACTTTTCCATCTCTCCAAAAGGATAAAACTAAAATACGGGTGCTGTCTCCTCGGGGTGCCAACCCAGGAGCACCTCCATGGACCAAAGAGCTTCAATCCTCCATCCCAACCCCAGAGAGAGAGACAAACATCTCCATGCGAGGAGGAAAGGAACCAGACCACCTACGTTAGGTGGCTCGACGCAATCTAACGCAGATGGTGGGTCCCTCCCCTACCCAGTCCCAAATTTAGCATCCTCAGTCTGAGCCACTTTGCAGCTCAATTTTGCACCCTTTCAGAGTCAAGGGGAGATTTGGATGCTCATCATCTCCACAGAAAGAGGCCCAGAGGCTCTCAAACCAAATTCCTCAAGAAAAAAAAAAACTAATAAAAAAATAAAATAAATAAATCACAGTCTCCTCCTGAAAAACTGGTTCAAGATCACATCAGTGAGTCAGAAGCAAAGCTAGAAATAGCACTAGAGCTCCGACCTGCAGGCACAAATCCCATTAAAAGCTACAGGGGAACCATTTCTCTGTGTGGGGGAGAAACCTGGACCCTTCTGCTTCACACAGCCTGATGGATCGCTTCCACCCACGGCCCCCACAGACCTTTTTTTTTTTTTGCCCTGAACCCAACATCTGAGCGCTTCTCCAGGTGTTTTCCCTATTTCCCAGATGTGGTGCCAAGGGCAGCCCAGAGGTGCTCTCCCACCAGGGCTGGTTTTCACCAGAAACATCTGCCTGGGTCAACGCATGAGGAGCAGGGTCTATCCCAAGGGAAGGACTGGCCGTGCCGGCCCCTGCCACGGGGACAGATGCCAGCTCACGTTGGTGACACCAGGTTCATCCCTGCAGTGGTGAGGGCCTGATCCTGCTCACAGACCCACTCTCCTGCCCAACCTCAGAAAGCCCGTGGGGACACCATGCCCAAAACACCACCTTTCCCAAAATAATCATCATCTTCCTCCACACCGACCCCCGACAGTGCTCGTGCTCCTGAGGCGCACCCAGCGCTTTGGCAAACCCTCCTCCCAGATCACCCAAAGCTCACAGGCATTAAACAACTTTATAAAGTCTCATTGAACACCAGCATCCTCCCCAAAAACACTCCGCAGCACCTCACCCTTGGCGCTTTCCAACACACCTGGGGTGGGATCACCCACCGCGGGGGCACCCATGGGTGGGTGGGCACTATCCTGGAGCACCAGGCAGCTTCCCCAGGCAAACTCACATCTCCATGGACCCATCACGAGCCAGACTGATGGACACTGGCCAACCTCCCTGGCCTTGCACCCGAGCCGGTGGCTCCCACCAGCCCCATCCCACTCAATGGGATGAGCTTCAGAAGCAGAGATTTATTGCTTTTGGTTGCATTGTTTCTTTTTAAGAGGTTCATGGGCTCAGAGCTGCTACAGCAGAGAGGGAGGAGAGGGCTCCTAATATAACGAGACATAATTAAAGACAGGCTGGGGTCCCATGCTGCGTGGTGCTGAGCACCTCTGCGACCCAACACATTGACGCTGCTCGTCCCCTGCACCAAGTAGAAACCAGGACCCTCATGCACCAGCCAGGGTCACTTGGTGTTAATTATAGCCAGGCCTGAATCAATCAATCAATCAATCGAATAAAAACGAGGAGTGATTCCTCCTGACTGTGTGGAGCCACATCAGCACGAGAGATGGACCCAGCCCTAAAGCAGCATTTTGAACCATTGCTGTAGAATACGCTAGCACCGTTTGGTTTATTGTTATTCACGTGGTTTTCCTCTGACAGCTGAGGAAGGGTTCCATCAGCCTCCCGCCGCAGCGCTACGGCACCGACCGGGCCCCGCATCAGCCTGAATTCACCCCAATTCCACAGGCTGCTAGAGCCCATCCAGGGGAGGCTTTTCTCAACCACAGCCTTGGGAGAGGTTTGCATCCCTCTGCCCTCACCTGGCAGAGGATCGAGGTGCCCCGTCCCCAGGGATTGTCAGCAACGGGGGGAAAACACAAGGAAATCCAGACGGGGATGGGGAAAGCAGATGGGATCTCCTGGACCAACAGCTCCCAGCCATCCCAGAATAGACGAAGAAGAAGCAGAGACAACCTTAGGGTCTCTGCACCTTGATGCACCTCTCCTAAAAACCCAGGAAGATGACAAAGTGAAGGCTCAAGAAGCGCCAGCTCGGATCCAGCCCATCCTCAGCACGTGCCATTTCCACCGTAAAGGAAAAAACCCCCCAGCCCTGAGGCTCTCCATGATCGAAAAGGAGTTTTCCTGCCCTGGTGATCCTGCTCCAGCCCACGTCCCACCACTCCTGAGCCGGGCAGTCCCCGATGCCCCGAGCGCTCCCGTTTGCTGAGGATTCGGCCCCGTAGTCGCTCTCTAAATATCTATACACACACACACTCGAGAATTATACGGGAAACGGCTGAAAATTGCTGAACAAACAAGTCAGGAGAGCCGGTACCTGCTATTCCACCTGCTCCTCGTGCCCTCTCTGATCTGCCGTAGTTTCTACTCAAGATTAATGACTAATTACTCGCCCTATAATGAGGGCAGGTGTTTAACTTTCAGCTCACCTTCCCTCGCTCGCATTAGTCGGCTCTTGTGTCTGGATGCTCGGACTCTCAGGCTTTGCCTTGTTGTCTCTCAAACTGTTGTCAGCACCTGCCTTCCCCATCCAGTTTTTTCAACATAATGGAGATTTTTTTTTAACTCCCATGAATCTCCTTCGAGCCACCGGAGAATCTATGAACACTATAAACATGAATGCTGTATAGTCTACTAAGAAAATATATATTTGTGTGTGTATTAAATATTCAGATTCATGCAACAAATATCCATGCAGCTGTACTGTATTACTGGTTAAATTTCACTGCAGTATAAATATATTATAGGCCACAGCATAGTTGCTCCAGTTTTATATATAGATATTAAAAAAGATGCTTTTTCCAACTCATTTCCAATGTGTCAGTGGAGGTGTCTTTGGTGATCCTGGAAATACTGGTGATGGAAAGTGTCGCCTAAATAAATAAATAAAACCCAAGCGCTTGATTTATTTACTCGTCCCTCCCGATGCCTAGCATAGGAAATTTAAGACTTAATAAATAATGTGCCGTCATACTAATTATCCCTCCCCTGGGCCTCACACTGGCACACTGCAGTGGCTGAAACTCTTGCAGCATGCAGCATTTTCAGTTATGAAACACGAGCCTGGGCGACGCGTTCGCACTTGGCGTTCCCCGGGCGGAAACCCGAGCGATTCGGACGCAGGACTGCACCTTTCCCTTTCCTTAAGCTCTGCCTAACCTTTCCCAGCCATTCCCCGTGCCTGGAAGCTGGTGGTCACCCAGCTCCGCCAGACAGGGAGCGGCGTTCGTGGCACCCCGGGACAGCCCGGAGCTGTCCCCACCTCCCCTCCATCCCCTTCCCCTCATCCCCATCCCCTTTCTCGAACCGCTCCGGATCTTTGGAAACCCGCAAGCCTGGGATGGGAGAAGGGAAGCAAAATGGTTGGGTCGGTTGGGTTTTGTTTGTTTTGTTGGTCGTTGGTGGGTGTGGTTGTTTTGTTTTGTTTTTGCACGAACGCTTATTCGGTGCGGAAATCAAAGGTTAAAAGTCACTTACACAGCTATTGCTTCCCATGCAGAACCAAATATACACCGTAGAAAATACTGTATTAACTACAATGCAGAGCAGCACTCAATATCTGCAATTGTTCCACTTCAGCTTTAAATACGTTACTAGATTTTAGCGACTAGACATCAGTTAGCATTTTGGTGATATTCACATAGTTTGTGTTAGCTAGGGTGCAATTGGCTGTCTTCAAGTTCTCCTCCCTAAAATCCTCGTTGCTATTGTTTACGCCTTCCTGAATCTCCATATAATCAGACTTACTAATAGTAGAGGCACTTCTGCTTTTCTTTAGGTCAGGGGAAGAGGGGATCTTTGGGCAGCTGGTTACTTGCAAATATTGAGCCTGCTCCTCTCCCTCCGTCTCCCGGTGGTAGAAGTAATTGAAGTTAGAGACTATGACGGGCACGGGTAAGGCAATCGTTAATACGCCAGCGATGGCACACAAGGAACCCACTATTTTCCCCCCGATGGTCGTGGGGACCATGTCTCCATAGCCAACAGTCGTCATGGAAACCACGGCCCACCAGAAGGCATCGGGGATGCTCGGGAACTGGGACTCGCTCTCGTCGGCCTCGGCGAAGTAGACGGCGCTGGAGAAGAGGATGACGCCGATGAAGAGGAAAAAGATCAGGAGGCCCAGCTCCCGCATGCTGGCCTTGAGAGTCTGCCCCAGGATCTGCAGCCCCTTGGAGTGCCGGGAGAGCTTGAAGATCCTGAAGACCCGCACCAAGCGGATGACTCTGAGGATGGCCAAGGACATGGCTTGTTGGCCTTGCTGGCCATCCTCGGGCTTCTCGGCCAGCTCCGTCCCCAAGGTGATGAAATAGGGAATGATGGCTACAATGTCTATAATGTTCATGATGTTGGTAAAAAACCCAGCCTTGCTGGGGCAGGCAAAAAACCTCACCAAGAACTCGAAGGAGAACCAGATGATGCAAAGCGTCTCCACGATGAAGAAGGGGTCTGTGAAGGAGGTGGACTGCTGGTACCCCAGGCTGCTGTTGGAGTAGGGGGGGTGGCTCAGCCCGCTGCCGTGCATGTCTTCGTTCTCATCCCGAAAAATGGGCAACGTTTCCAGGCAAAAGCTGACGATGGAGATTAAAATCACCATGACGGAGACGATAGCTATAATCCTGGCAGTCGAGCTCTCGGGGTACTCAAAGAGCAACCACACTTGTCTCTGAAACTCGTTCTCGGGCAACGGTCGTTCCTCTTCTTTGATGTAGCCTTCATCCTCCCGAAACATCTCCATCGCTTCTTCCCCCAGTTCATAGAAACGAATCTCTTCCGAGAAGATATCTAAGGGCACGTTAACCGGCCTCCGCAACCTCCCACCAGACTGGTAATAGTACAAAATCGCGTCGAAGCTGGGTCTGTTCCGGTCGAAGAAATACTCATTCCGGAGCGGGTCGAAATATCTCATTCTTTTTTTGGGATCTCCCAGTAAGGTCTCTGGAAACTGGGCTAACGTCTTGAGCTGCGTCTCGAAGCGCAGCCCCGAAATGTTAATGACCACCCTCTCGCAGCATTCATGGTCGGTCTCGGGGTTATATGTGTCCTGCGGGTGACCGGGAAGAGCTGCAGCTTCGTCTGCAGGATCTCCGGTAGCAACTGTCATATTGGGGTTTAAAAGAAATCCTTACGCTAAACTCTTCCCAGCGCCCGGTGGCGGGAGCGGATTCAGGGCAGGGCTACTATCCTGCAGAAGGACAGGTACGTAGGTTTGGAAGTGTCTCATGAAAAGGCGAAGGGATGATATAAAAAAAAAACAAAAAAAAAAAAACAAAAGAGGAAAAAAAAAAAAGAAAATCGCCCCTGCTGAGAAAGAGAGAGATGAAATAAAGTTGGGGGGAGGAGAGCAGCTCCCTTCACTAGCACGTCTATGCACTTCCTTGCGGGGGTTAATTTGCCTTCTTTGGGACAGAGCTCCAAAACTCCCATCTAAACCCGTTAGGTGGAAGAGAGAAAACACCTGAGGAACCGTCACCTATCCAAAACCCTGGGAAAAACTGGCCTAGGCAAAAGGGAACTTTTGGCTTAGCTAAAAATAAAAATTCCAATTAATGATAATTAAAAAAAAAAAAAAAGGACAGGGGAAAGGGAAGAGAAAGGAAGAAAAATAACCCCATCCAGCCTGAAAGTGGGGACCGGGCAGAGGCTGACCGGGCTCGGCTCATTCCCAGGCATGCAGCTAAGGGTTAACGCTTCACCGTGCCACCGCAGGCAATCTCTACCCTCCTTAAGGGGCTCGGTTTTTGCGCGGGGGGGTCCACACCTTCCCAAATCCTCTTGCCCTGGCGAGGCGACATGCTGCCCTCCCCGCCTGCAGCCCACCGGGCCGGCTCTGCGGCTGCCCCGCGGAGCGCTGCAGTCCCCCTCCTCGCCGTCCCGGCTCCTCTCATCCTCTGCAAAACCACCATGGCACACAGAAAACAAATCACATTACCTGGAGAAGCCAAATCTTAGTGTCTCTTAGTAACACCGATTATCTGACCCTGGGGAAATCCTAGAGAGAAATACAGGCTTCCAAGGTCCCCATAATTTCCTCTCTCTTCAAAGTTAAAAATAATGGTGAGTCATCGTAGAAAAAAAAGGAGAAGGGACATAAAAGGGGTTAGATTCCCAGATGGTGGAAGTCAGGTCTTGTAATGGTTTGGACTGGAGAGAGAGAGAAAGAGAGACAGAGAGACAGAGAGACAGAGTCTTCTCGGTAGCTGTTGCGGCTCTGCACTTCAGGGCAGATGAGCGTCTGTCTGATGCCTTCGGTACGACGGCGAAAAGATGCCAAGCTCAGCAAAACCCAATGTCCCCAGTGTCCTCGGGAGGTGTGGCATCGCCTGGAAAAAACACCGAGAAGGTAGCAAGCTGCCGGTGGCTCAAAAAGAGCATCTGCAAAGCCTCGACTTCTCCAGGCACCCTCTTTTTTTTAATTTTTTTATTCCCACCCGGCGAGCTGTTCGCCCGCTGCCCGGCCAACCTGTACTGCAACACGAGAGGAGGGCGAGAGCGCGCTAGCGGCAAGGCGGAAAAAAGCAGAGCCCCATCTCCCTCCGCTCTCGCTCAACGCCACGGCGGGCAGGGCTGCCCATGGGAGCCGGTGCCAGGAAAACCGGGAGGGGGGAGGGGGGGAGAAAACGATGCAGCATCTTCCCCCCCTGCTCCCAACATCCCCATCCGATCGTTGAGGCTCTGCAAAGCCGAGGTGGGTTCCCAACCCCCTGGAGGTGGTGGTACCCACTGGGTGCAGCGCCCACGCCATCGCATCCTCCGGCGGTTTGGGAGGTTTTGGCTTCATCTGTGGGATTGAACCCCCCACCAGTTTCTCTCTGCCCCCTCCCTGTACCAAAGACCACCTGCCCAAGCCCTAGAGGAGCCCCGAGCATCATGGGCCTGACCACAGGACCTGCATCTGCCCTCCTCATCCTCCCCAAAGCCAAATGACCGACCTACTCGCCCTGGGAATCGGAGCGGGGGGCAAAATTTCTCACGAAGCTCTGGTCCCCGGTGGGTGCCGGGTCATCAGCATCCCTGCTCCTAACGATTTCGAGACGCCCCCCCCGCGCTGCCTCGCGCCAGAGGGGATGCTCAACCCAGAGAGGTCCAACCAACCCCTCATTTATTTCTTTTTTCCCCACCCAAAAGAAGAAAAAAAAAAACACAATAAAACCCTCTAACCTCCCTTCTTCAGCTCCAACTCGACTTGTCTACTTTGAGCCAGGATTATAGAACCGGGTAGGGGAGGCAGGTGGAAAATAACCCCGCGGTCCCGATCTCCTCAGCCAAGATTTCAGCCGTCTCCAGGCCATTTATGCCTGTTAGTTCCTCTCTTCGTCACCCAAGGTGCAGATATTGCCGCAGATCCCTCTTTTCTTGGAAATTTCCCCTTTCCGTGCAACCCTCCTCTCCCTTCTCCTTATGCACTAGAAAAAATAGTACAACCCTGACAAGGCTTGCAGCATTCAACCGCTTCACTTAACCCTTTTCTGCCAGGCCTGCAGGAGAGGAGGTCGCATTTGTCCCAGTTTTTCTCCTTTTCCTGCATTTTCTCCCCACCGCTCGCTCCCCAGCGACTCGCTCAGGTGTTCGGCTGGCTTTGACCTTCCCTGGCTCCCCTGAGCATCGTGCTAAAATAGCACCAAACCCCATCTTTCTGCTGCTGCAAGAAAAGCCACAAAATCCCTCCATCTCGCCAAAAATCAACCAATCTTGAATTTATTGATTTTTTTTTCCTAAATACAGTTTTCCTCCTGCCTGTAAACTCTCTTCTCCCCTTTCTCCCTCCCCAAAATCAACCCAGGTTTGTTTAACAGCATGAAGATTTATTTTTTTTTTTAAACATTTATTTCACATGTTGATTTTTATTTGGGTTGAGGTCTAAGCTCCTTCCTCACAGCTCAAACCCAAGCGCTGGCGGAGACGGTTACGGCATCGTCGGACTTGACACCACCGCGCATCCCAGCGCTCAGTTCCGCTCACTTTTCTCCCCATCGCTGGCAAGCAACACCCACCCCCTCGAGCATCTTTGGGGTTAA